CAGGTCAGCTGACTCAGGCTCATGGTGCTCAGGCTGCCAGGCTACAAATTGCAGTGTAGATGTTCTTGCTCAGGCTGGAGCCTGGGCTCTGAGACGCTCCCTCTTTGCAGCATCTCAGAGCCTGGACTCTAGCCCAGGCCAGAACAGTTACACTGCAATTTAATAGCCTGAGTTAGTTGACCTGGACCAGCCACAGCTGTTCCACAGGTCTTTGATCACAGTGTAGACATACCCTAAGGGCTCTGAGAACCTGCTGGTCTGGAGACTTCTCCTTACCCCATTGCTCTGGTTCAGGACTAGGATGCCGTAGATCATTTAGGCAGACTTGTCTCTTTATAATATCCCATATATATAATATAATATTTTGGTCTCCAGGATCTATATCTATGTTCACTTTCATTCCTCTGATTCAACTCTCTGACCATTGCTCAAATTTAAGGGTGCTCAGGTGCTGTTCATCAGCAGTATTAACTGATCGGCTAATGCCCATATAGCACTGTGAAGATGAAAGGCTCTGTGTGGGGACTAAGAACTATTATTAAGCCCAACCCTGAAGTCCTTATTCAGTTTTCACGCTGTCCTTTTTCAAGCTTCAGTGGAAGTTTTGGCTGAGTTAGGGACAGGGTAAAATCATGTGAAGATTTGGGGATTAGGCCTAATGCTATTGCCTTTTTTGCCCCTTTTCATCCCATTCATGTTTTCTCCAGGGCAGAGGGCATGAATTGCAACAAGCTGGCATATGGTAGGATAATCCTGCCTCTTGCTCATGGTCCACTCTTTGGCCAAATGTAAACGCCACTCTGCAGTTTCTGCAGATACGGCTTGGGAGTCTCGTAGATTGTTGCTCTGCTCCAGGGTTTCTAACGTGTCTTCTCTTTTCAGCAAGGTGAAGATCTTTCAATCTGGTAAGAAAGCTCTCATGTAATTGTGGTGGTGAGATCAGTTATGGATTCTGTGCGCTTTCAAAACGACAAACTCCACAGCTGTGTGGTAGTGTAGTGTGGTAACCGGTTGTGTTATGTATCTCTTGGGTCACGCTGATGGGTCTGACATTCACAAGGTCCTTTGTTTCCTTTTGAAAGGTCCTGCCTCTGTACGTGTGTGTGTAGGGGGGCAGACTAGATGCCCTCTCAAGGTCCCTTCCAGCCCTACATTTCCATGGTTCTGTGACTGTCACAGGTGTTACTTTCTCAGAGGAAGTCCTATAAAACTTCCCTTTCTACAAAAGCTTCGTAAGACAAGAAGACAGTTCCTTCCATGTAGTTCTGCTCCAGCTGATGGAGCGTTTAGTGCCTCTTATCCTGCTTCTTCTCCAGTAATGGGAGCAAGGAGGAACAGCTACGAAGGATGGGATGAAACTGAGCAAAAGGAAACCTCTTCCAAGCTGCAGGTCCACAGGCCTGGGCTGCGGCAACCCCCCACATTAGACTGAATTACCGAAGGCCTTCTTCAGGGTAGGGAATGTTCCTGCCGGGGCAGCCATTGTTTTTCCTTCTCCGATGTGTATGGTTCCATTATCTCCCTTCAGGACAGTGTCTGTCCCTCACTTGCCTAATTGAGCCCGACCCAGTACAATCCAGTGGGAATAATTCCCGAGAGTCCAGTTAGACCGCACTGGGACTCAGCTCCATCTCCTGCGCAATCTCAGTTGTGCTCAAAACATTTCAGATTATTCATGGTTAATTGCAGGTATTATTTGTGCCATAGCTGGGCAGAGAGGCCCCACTAGGACCAAGGCCCCATAACATAGGTGCGGCACAAACACAGTGGAAGGAACAGTCCCTGCCTTGAAGAGCTGGCAGTATAAGAATGTCCCATTCCTTCACTATTGTCTGTCTGGGTTCCTCCTTAGGCTGCTACAGGCCCCTGCCCTGACACCGACACACATGGCCAAAAACAGTCACAACAGAACAATATTTATGAAAGATAAAGGGGATTTTTTGGGGACACAACAGGCTTCTCCAGTGTGATCCCATTTAACACCCCATTATGTGAACTACAGAACAGCTCTGCCCTTTCCCACCGCAGCCAGGATATTCTGTCCTGCTGCAGGACAGAATCCAACTTCTGCTACATGGACCGGGGGGTTGGGGGGAAGAGGTGGCTGACACTGTTGTTTTATCTCAGAGTGGTCAGTGTCAGGATCCACTGGTGGAGGCTCATCAAAGGGAAAGGAGGGGAATCCCTCACCTGAATGAACATGAATGAAAGGCTGTAGGGGCTGCTCCCTCTTTTCCCTGTTGGGGACAGGTAGAAGGTTCCTTCAATTGTACGTTCTCACCACGTTCCTCTGGCTATGACACCGAGAGGCACGTCTCCCATAAGCCCCTGACAGTCGCCAGTATCTGCTGCCACTCCTAAATTAACTATTCCCAGAATGATGGCTTCTTTTCTAAACTCCCTCCAGCTTATGGTACATCAACATGACAGGCACTACCGTGACAAGCTGCAGCACTGCAATTATGCCACTGTAGCATAGACACGTGCTACAGTGATGGAAGGGTTTTTCTGTCACTGGAGTAAATGCACCCCCTCGAGAAGTCTTCTGTTGACCTAATGGCATGCATCTATGCTGGGGCATATGTCGATTTAACTATGTCTCTTGGGGGGGTGGGCGTGTGTGAATTTTTCACACCCTTGAGTGATGTTGCTAGGTAGACTAATTTTAGTAACCAGCCAAAGGCCACGTCTACACTACAGTTTACGTCGGCAGAACTTATGTTGCTCAGAGGGGTGAATATATCACCCACTAAGCGACATAAGTTAAACCAACAAAAGTGCTGGTGTGGACAATGCTATCCCAGCAGGAGAGCTTCTGCTACTTGCAGGGGCTGGAGTAGTTAAGCCGGCGGGACAGTAGTTAAGCTGTCTTCTGTCAGCGTAGGGTGGCTACAGGAGAGCGCTTATGCAGCTGTGCCGCTGTAAGTTCTCGAGGGCAGCCCTCTCCTGACTTCCATGCGCGGGAATGGTCAGTGATTCTAGCACCAAACTCCTGACCGTCAGTCACAGATAGAGGAAGACTATTATTGTTCAGTAGCACCCAGAGGCCCCCGTCAGGAGTGGGACCCCACTGGCCTGGGTACTGCACGAACAGTCCCTGCCCTGAAGAGCAGATTCGGATCTGCAATGCCGTCCCAATACTGGGTTTGTTCACACTTTTGACACTACATGGTTGAGTCCTGAAGGCTCAAGAACTTTACAGCATTTGAACCGAGATTCACTCCTGATGAATGTGGCCTGGTTCACGTCCTTCCTGCTCGGAACTCCACCAAACCATCAAGAAAGTTCTTCCCTGGAACACAAACGCCTTGAGACACCCCCAGGACTAGACAGATGGGGACCCGGTATCATCTTCCCTCCTGGTTTAGTTTGCATGCTGCTTCTAGCAGGGACTGGCCCTCATGCCTAATAATTCTGACTGAATCCATGTAACCTCACCCCAATACAGTTAGAATAAGACTAATAAGAATGAGAGTCAAAATTTGTTAGTCTCTAAGGTGCCATAAGTACTCCTTTTCTTTTTACAGTTTCCAGAGATCACTGCAGCCAAAGGCAAAGGGATGCAGAACTCAGACAAAACACCTTCAAGCAGGCCCAGAGGAGGGGACATATAAAAATAAGGAGCTGAACACTTTACCTTATTTCTTTCCCTCTGAGCCCACCCAGGAAGCCCTTAATGATCAGCCATACAGTGCCTTGGAGAGAAACACAACCATGACACACACAAGTGATCCCATAGTGCAGGCAGAAAGAGAATTTCCATTCAAATTACCCATTTTCACCCATGCCCTGAAGCGTCCTCCCAAACTTGTTCAGGTTTTGTCTTGTCTGTTCATGCATGTTTTGGTTTTATTTAAAGCAAATTTGGTGCTTGGGGCAGGTGAGAGACTGACAACCGAGGTCTATTCGTCTTCAGGGCAGGCATGACGCTTGCAGCATCGACGCCTGCTGCCTTCGTACAAGACCACCAACATGCCTTGGCCAAGACCAGAGGGTGAGGGACAATACAGCTTCTAGAGCTAGTTTGCTCCTCAACCCCTTTGTTGAGGCAGCCAAAGGATATTAGCTGAACTAGGCTGAGATCCCCACCTCATTTTGCATGGGCCATTAAAAAGCCAAAAGATGTTAATGACTTTCAGTCACTAGCTGGGCTAATTTTGAACCAGTGCCCCGGAGCTGAAAGGCCCCCAACCCCAGAACTTAAAAAAAATAAACAAATTTTAAAAACATGACAGGTCAGCAAAGTGCCTCTTTCTTGGGGCAGAGACGCAATGAAGGAGTCTGGGGCAGTAACTGCTTCACCTCATCCAGCAGTGCCCCAGCTTGATGTGTTCTCATACAGCCGCTCTTCCCAGATGGAACTCATTTTAGTACCCAGTAACCTTTGCTTAGTTAAATCCCCAGCAGGGCTCCAGGCTCACCTGCACCATGAGGCTCAAAAGAACCACCTAGGATAAAAAGTATAAAGCTAACATGGCTCAACAGCGGCATCCAGAGGACAACTGGGTTCATTGCAGAAATGCTGAACGAACACTTCATCTCTCCTATCAGCTGGGCATCATGGACTGAGACCCTCTATGGTCCGATTCTTGCACTGAGGAGTCTGGCTGTGCAGAGCTGATTGTAGGATCAAGTTCTGTGTTTGTTACCAAGAGGTCTCCATGGCTTTTCCTTCTCCCCATCGCAAATGTAAAACTGTCTCAGTGCAAAACCTCTGTCCCCACCTACTTCTCAGATATTATTTCTTGTCACCTCCCCACCCCCTGCAGGCTGGCAGTTATGCCAACTTCCCCACCTCCTTTTATCCCTTCTCCCTCGGCTGTCTGGGTCTTCTTCCACATCTCACCCCATAGTATGACTTCTCTGTCCTGAAATACCAGCCCGCTACCAACCCCCATTAGCATCACTTTGCCTGCCAAGACCACAAACACTGAGTAACCCAAGTGGGGCCTCCTGCACCCTTACATTTCATGAGGTGGGTGCATGGATGACTGAGAACAGAAGGAGGGAAAATTTTATTAAGATGATGTTTAAAAAAAAAAGTGAACGGTACAGAGTTTAAGTGTAGAAGTTTCTGGTTATCGGGGAATAACGTACAGATCATCAAGGGGTGCAAAGTTCGGTTTAAGGTCTGGTGGTGTAAGGAATACATAATCTGCAATATCCCCGATTGGGGATAAAAGGTTAACGGGTCAAAGTACAGACATTGGGACATGAGGGTATGTTGTTCATATAATGGCTATGTTCAGGTGTGGAGTATAATGAGTGGATACGATGATGAGGATGGATTGACCCTCATTTGCTGAGATTTAACATTCATTGAGTTTATGGTTCCAGTTTGTACGGTCCAACGGAAAAAAGTCTCTCAGTCCCTTTCTCGTAGTCAAAACACGATGTTGCTCCAGCTCTCACCTCCTGGTACTGTCGGTGGCCGGTGATGTGTTCAGTGTAGATGTCCCTGGACCATTGGATGGTGTCCGAGACCACGAGGTGCCTCATGAGCTGTGCGTAGCATTGACCAATCCTGCAGGTCTGCAGCACACGCTTGTTGCAGGGGTCCCAGGCACCCAGGGCTCCAACGATTAGGGCGTCTGAAAGTTACCACATTCCTCTGGGCCTCTCGGCTCCTCTAGTCTTCTCAGCTTGTTATTTAGATTGTGAGGTCTTTGGGTTAGGGGCTTTCTCTGGTAGGGGGTCTGGTGTGGGGACCAGCATACCATAATAATAAGGCTTAACAGGATTAGTTTTTTAACCAGTAAATGTTAGTGAACATCAAACTCACCACACAGCCCCAAACTGACGAAAATCATTTCCATCAATAATAATGGAGAGTTACAGGTCTGCAAAGTAAGAAAAACGGGGCTTGAGAACATATTAGAGACTGTCATTAAAAATGATTGTCTGACACCGCCCGGGGTTTCCTGCAATTGTGCAAATAGCCATTAAAAATAGGGAAAAAAGTGCACAAAACCAAACATGGCTGTTCTCCACCTGCAGGATAAACACCAGACCTGCACTCTGCCTAGCCTAGGAAAAACAAATGATCAGCCAGCCACCCCCCTGCCCCCCAGTCCTAGTCATTCTGTGACCCTAACCACTTCGCCCCCCGAGGTGCTGCTCCCCGGGGCCCAGACCCAGCCAGCACCCCGTGGGTCCCCCCCAAACCCTGGGTCCGAGCCAGCCCCCCCAAACCCTGGGCCAGGCCCCCCCGAACCCCAGCCGGGGCTCGAGCCAGCCCCCCCGAACCTTGGGGCCCAAGCCAGGCCTCCCCCGAACTCCAGCCGGGGCACGAGCGAGCCCCCCCCCGAACCCCGAGCCAGGCCCCCCCCGAACCCCAGCCGGGTCCCGAGCCAGCCCCCCCGAACCCCGGGGCCCGAGCCAGGCCCCCCCCGAACTCCAGCTGGGGCCCGAGCCAGCCCCCCAAACCCCGGGGCCCGCGCCAGGCCCCCCCGAACCCCGGGGCCCGAGCCAGGCCTCCCCCGAACTCCAGCCGGGGCACGAGCGAGCCCCCCCCGAACCCCGAGCCAGGCCCCCCCCGAACTCCAGCTGGGGCCCGAGCCAGCCCCCCGAACCCCCGGGGCCCGAGCCAGGCCCCCCCGAACTCCAGCTGGGGCCCGAGCCAGCCCCCCCAAACCCCGGGGCCCGCGCCAGGCCCCCCCCCGAACCCCGGGGCCCGCGCCAGGCCCCCCCCCGAACTCCAACTGGGGCCCGAGCCAGCCCCCCCGAACCCCGGGGCCCGCGCCAGGCCCCCCCCGAACCCCAGCCGGGTCCCGAGCCAGCCCCCCCAAACCCCGGGGCCCGCGCCAGGCCCCCCCCGAACCCCGGGGCCCGAGCCAGGCCCCCCCCGAACTCCAGCTGGGGCCCGAGCCAGGCCCCCCCCGAACTCCAGCTGGGGCCCGAGCCAGCCCCCCCGAACCCCGGGGCCCGCGCCCGCTCCGGCCCGGCCCGGCCCCGCGGGTCACGGTGACACCCCCCAGCCCGGCTCCTGGCGCGATTCCCGCCCGAACCCGCCCCCGCTCCCGCTCGCGAGCGACAGGCCCCGCCCCCTCCCAGCGTTACCAGCGTGACAGGAGCCCCTCGGAGCCCCGCCCTCTCCTCCAATCAGTGCAGCCTCCGCGGTTCGCCCCGGCCGCAAAGGGGCCGTCAGCAGCCGCCTTGTGATTGGGTACTGGGGAATCACGCCTGCCCTGCCGCACTGTGATAGGCTATGCGGACCCCGCCCATCTCTCCCGCTTTGTCATTGGGTGTTCATGGACCGCCAGTCTGGGCCTTCTGATTGGCTATCTCGGGTCCTCCCACCCAACGACGATATCTGATTGGCTGTCCCCGCTCACCCTCTCCTTTGCCGCTCTGGGATTGGCTGCGCCCGGTCCCACCCCCGCTGGCCGGGGAAGGTGAGAGTCTCCTCTAAGCGGCGGCCTCAGTCGACCGGCGCCGCAGCCGCAGGGAGCCATGGCCGCCGGCTCCGTCTTCGCCCACGTCCCGCGCGCCCCGCCCGTCGTCGTCTTCCGGCTCACGGCCGACTTCCGGGAGGACGCGGACCCGCGGAAAGTCAACCTGGGGCTGGGCGGTGAGTGGGGGGAGGGGGAGTGTGTGTGGGGGGCCGGGCCGGGTGGGGGAGAGGGCGTGTGGGGGGGGGCCGAGGGGGATTGGGGGGGCTGGTGGGGTGTGGGTGGGGTGGTGAGTGGGGGGAGGGGGGAGTGTGCGCGCGCGCGGGGGGAGGGGGAGTGTGGGGGGGCCGGGCCGGGTGGGGGAGAGGGCGTGTGGGGGGGGCCGGGGGGATTGGGGGGCTGGTGGGGTGTGGGCGGGGTGGTGAGTGGGGGGGGAGGGGGAGTGTGCGCGCGCGGGGGGGAGGGGGAGTGTGTGGGGGGGCCGGGCCGGGTGGGGGAGAGGGCGTGTGGGGGGGGCGAGGGGGAGTGGGGGGGATTGGGGGGGCTGGTGGGGTGTGGGCGGGGTGGTGAGTGGGGGGAGGGGGGAGTGTGCGCGCGCGGGGGGAGGGGGAGTGTGTGGGGGGGCCGGGCCGGGTGGGGGAGAGGGCGTGTGGGGGGGGCCGAGGGGGAGTGGGGGGGATTGGGGGGGCTGGTGGGGTGTGGGTGGGGTGGTGAGTGGGGGGGAGGGGGAGTGTGCGCGCGCGCGGGGGGAGGGGGAGTGTGTGGGGGGGCCGGGCCGGGTGGGGGAGAGGGCGTGTGGGGGGGGCCGAGGGGGATTGGGGGGGCTGGTGGGGTGTGGGCGGGGTGGTGAGTGGGGGGAGGGGGAGTGTGTGCGCGCGTGCGCGGGGGGAGAGGGCGTGGGGGGGGGCCGGGCCGGGTGGGGGAGAGGGCGTGGGGGGGGGCCGAGGGGGAGTGGGGGGGATTGGGGGGGCTGGTGGGGTGTGGGCGGGGTGGGGGGGAGGGGGAGTGTGCGTGCGCGCAGGGGGAGGGGGAGTGTGTGGGGGGGGCCGGGCTGGGTGGGGAAGTGGGCGTGTGGGGGGGGCCGAGGGGGAGTGGGGGGGATTGGGGGGGCTGGTGGGGTGTGGGCGGGGTGGTGAGTGGGGGGGAGTGTGCGCACGCGCGGGGGGGAGGGGGAGTGTGGGGGGGGCCGGGCCGGGGGGGAGTGGGGGGGGCCGGGGGGGGGGGGAGTGTGGGGGGGCTGGTGGGGTGTGGGCGGGGTGGTGAGTGGGGGGGAGGGGGAGTGTGTGTGCGCGTGTGGTGGGGGGCTGGGCCGCGTGGGGGAGAGGGAGTGAGTGGGGGGGCCGAGGGGGGAGAGGGAGTGAGTGGGGGGGCCGGGGGTGTGTGTGGGGGGAGGGGGAGTGAGTGGGGGGGGCCGGGGGTGGGGGGAGGGGGAGTGCGTGTGGTGGGGGGCTGGGCCGGGCGGGGGAGAGGGACTGAGGGGGCCGGGTGGGGTGGGGAGGGAGAGGGAGTGAGTGGGGGGGGCCGGGGGGGAGTGTGAGTGGGGGGGCCTGGTGGGGTGTGGGCGGGGTGGTGAGTGGGAAGCTGGGGGCGGGTGGTGAATGGGTCAGTCTAGTGCGCTCCCAGTGGCCCCTGTGTCTGATCCCGGATGGAGGGCGGGTGGCGAGGCGTGACCTGGGCTGATATGGGGGTTGTGGGGGGCCTCAGGTCAGCCAGGCGATTGCGGGTGGCTCTAGAAGGTGAGTGACCGGCCCCTCCCTGAGTTGCTTCCTGTTCTCCGCAATGGGTCACCTGAACACTAGCTGTGCTTGGGGGTCTCCCTTCTCTTACCTCTAGGCCCCATTGCCCTGCAGCTGCCCTAGGCCATGCTCAGTGCTCACTTCCCATTTAGCCTCCAGCTGCTCTGCCCCCCTTTCCATGTGCTAAGCTGAGCCAGGATGCTGGCACCCAGGCCCTTAGGGGAGGAGGTCTGGGGGGTGGAGGCAGTCAGAAGGCCTGGTGGGCTGGCTCCTTTTCAACACTACCCCTGCACTGTGTGACCTTGGATGGGTTGCCTCCTTGCGCAAAGCAAAGCTGGGTGGGAGGGGAGGCGTGATCTTTGTCCTCTGCACAGGAGGTAGGGTCTAGGCTATCTGTTAGTGTTCAGCACGGTGACGTGCTGGGACAGACATTCCTAGAGATGTGCGGAGGGTTAGCGCGTGTGACCTGCCTTTGTAGGGGTACCTACAGCTCCATGGCTTTGGCGACTGAACACTTCTAGTCAGTGCTGTGGCCTCCCAAGTAGGCTTCTCTACTCAGCCCGTAATACGCCCAGCTCCGGGAAATCGGGCAATACCACCCCGAGGGCAGAATGGACTTCAGTCTGCACAGTTCATTCCGTAAGATCTCTGAGAGTAGTATCAGGAGAGCAGATTAGTGCTAGTGATGACTCTTGCACTGGACACCTGTCTGGGGGAGAACTAGTAACTCATCTCACGTCAGGGTGAAGGAACAGTTGTTGAAGGCAATTGTTTTCAGTCTCTAAGGCCCCTAGTTGCCTTGAAACCAGTGCCAAAGAGGCAGAAGCCTATATCCTAATCTCTGTCCAAATTCAATCTTTGTCATTCTGATTCCGTTCCATTTAGGGAACAATATGGGAGCCCCCACCCCCCCAGTGTCTATAAGCTGTAAAATGGCATGGAAGTAGCCCAGACTCCATAATTACATAGTGGATCCCAGATGCCTGTTCCTTGCAGTACACAGTGGAGGGGAATTGATTCTAAGATTCAGGCTTGAGACCCCAAGATTCCCTGCTGGCACGGTCAGCTCTGCCCTCCCTCCCAAGGCAGATAACTGGAGTTCCATGCATTATGTTGTATATAGACCTTTAGGGTTAGACAGATGCTAAATAACCCATGGCCCTTTTCCCAAGACCTATGGTTTGCTCCAACATCTCTTCATCTCAGCTAGTCTGCAGCTTGTTGTGTGCTATTTTTCCATCTTGCTTTCGGTTTATATGCAGAGGTGGCTGCATTTCCCTGCACATGTGGGCTGGTTTAGAAAGCATTTTGTCCTGAAAGGTGCTGAGGAGATGTTATTTCAGTTACGGTTGCTCCCTCTTCCCTGTGAAATGTATTTACCAGGTTCCATCAAGCATGCTCAGTGCTATAGGGAATGGACTGGAATGGACTCATCCCTGCTCCACAGAGTTTACAAGCCTAATCCACAGCATGTGCATGCTAGTGAGTGCACTGGATGGTACAAAGGTGGCAGTACTATGATCGCTGCGGGTCAGGTGTTTTTGTGTGGGGAGTCTCTGTCCAGAAGCTAGTGTAGTGGAGCTTGTACTGTCCCTTGGTGTTTGGAAGGTTAACAGAATCCTTCTAATCATTTCCTAATTTAGCTTCTTTACTCATGAAATGTTTTGATGGGGAAACTGTGTGTGTGTGTGTGTGTGTGTGTGGTGCTATGGATTCCAGAGACTGTCTATAAAGGACACATCCCAGGTCATAAGAAAACGTACCGTTGCCCTCCCTGTGGCCTCAGCCTCTGGATCTGAATAGCAATTGCGAGAAGGGGAAAGAGACCTAGTCTAATAACAGTGGGTAAATTTTTCTGGCCGAGGGTCTCCTCGGGACGTGTCTTGTGGAGCGTAAGACTCTCCTTTTCTCTCTTGCAGCCTATCGCACAGATGAGGGGCAGCCCTGGGTCCTGCCAGTAGTGAAGAAAGTCGAACAGAAGATCGCCAATGATGCCAGCTTGAACCATGAATACCTGCCAATCCTCGGCCTGCCTGAGTTCCGGGCCAACGCTTCAAGGATCGCGCTTGGGGAAGACAGTCGTGCTATCAAGGAGAATCGTGTAAGCTCTGGGGGGAAGCGACTCCTTGCTGAGATGTACTGGTGAATGGGGTCTCTGGAGGGGGGAAGATCTTGCCAGGATTGCAGAGTTTGCCCTGACTGGTCTGGCACTGAGCTCAGTTTGCAATCTGCATTCTGGCTGCATGGAGCTGTTGCTGTGAGTGCTCAGAGCTCTCTGAACAAGCGGGTTTTGTGCTCCCATCTGGAGGCTGAATACCAGAAACTGATAGGAAACCTCCCGCAGAGGGAAGGCAGAAGATATGGGTCCTGCCACCTGATGGTGAACAGTTCCAGAACTGGCCAGGCAATTGCCCTTGGAGTCTGATGGGAAGGGTCAACAGGTGTGACAGAAACAGCTGGAACCTGCCGAGGCCAAAAGGGGTGTGAGAAATGCGAGAGAAGCTGTTTAAGGAAGGGTGACAGTAGGATGGAAGCTGGGGGTAGATGATGTGATATGGGGTTATTTAGGTGTGTTAGTGCATCTGATGGTCAGCTCTGAACTATGTGGCTGCAGTATGAAAGTCCAGGTTGGCCTGGAAACAGGCACGCTGATACCATGGTTATGGGGCCATATAAGGAGCTAAATGGTTAGCAGTCGGTGAGGAGCAGAGCCTGCCCCATATTGCAGAGGAGCTGCTGCTTTGATGTCAGGAAGCCTGGCCTAGGAGGTACTGTCCTGGACTGTGGTAACGAAAGGGATCCGCCTCAGATTGGATGAGGCGTGCTGAATTCCTGGACTGCGAGGGGTTGATCCCTTTAGTAATTGGAGGCCAGCGAGGCTCATCTTACTCTGTCCCTTTCTGATGTTTCCACATGATCTCTGCACTGGTGCCATCTGTCAGTGGCAGGCTCTTGGTGACCCTGCCTGCCTTTCAGGTAGGAGGCGTTCAGTGCTTGGGTGGGACTGGTGCTCTTTGCATTGGAGCAGAATTCCTGCGGCGCTGGTACAATGGAACCAACAACACAGCAACTCCTGTCTACGTCTCTTCTCCTTCCTGGGGTGAGTGCCGCAGCATGCTCACGCTTACTCCTCGCTGGTGGGTAAGGTGGGAGCCAGGCTCTTCATGCTGGGGGTGGGGGGGGA